ATAATAGAGAAGTTTGTTTGCAGTTAGGCAGGCGCAGGATGGAGCCGTGATTTTCAGCCAGCAGACAATGAGTTTGCCCGGGCATAATTCACCCAGGAGCAAAAGGTCTTCGTGTGGAAGCTGGCCGAGGAATCTGATTAGACGAGCGGCCCAGGAGGAGACCGCAACTGCAATTGGATGCGGCTGTCCCCGAGTTGGCTGCTCCACAAAATCATGTTCATTAATTGACTAATTAATCGAGGGCTGCGCGGCAACACAACAGAGACATAACAGGCAAGGCGATTATCAATAACAATTAGCCGACGCCTCTGCGTCGATCTTTCAAATATACGCTGGCCCTGTACTGTAACCCCTCTGCAATCGTGGCCCCTTCTCTCAAGTTGGCCAGTTGCATTTGAATGCACGAGTTACGCATCCATCAAATGTCAATTGTTTGTCTTGGCTTGGCGCTCCGTCTTCGGAGACTCGGCGCTTTTCTCATAAATCATTCGAAAGGCTCTCTGGCGGGCAATGTATCGCAGAATCAGAATCCCGGCATCGGCGACGACGTCTTCTGGCTGTCAGAGGAGTCCAATGGAGGAGGAGGTGGGCCTGGCCCACTCGGATGCCCATCCAAGGCATCGAACTTGTCTAGCGATGGCCCAGCTGAGTGTCGGCCCTGTCCATCATGAATTAGTTGAGCAGTCGCAAGACATTAGGTGGAGCGAATGGCTGACGAAGCTTACTTTATTTAGTTTGACTTTTAATGCATATTTTCAAAGCATTTACCTCTCAGGGAGTTGCTCAGGGACTGATTAAATTTATTTTTTAATGCATTTCTATGCTTTCAGGCGACCGAAGCAGAATTTTAAATATTTTTAGTCTCTTCTCATGGTTTTTTATCGACTGTCTAACGATGACTAAACTTCTTATGTCTTACTGCAAGCTTATGTTGAAGCAATGTGATTTACTCCGGAAAGAATGGGCTTTATTTGAAAAGTATTTTTAATGTGCAATAAAAACTTCAAGCCTAGTTGAAATGGATTTCTAAATGATTATTTCACTGAGTGAAAAGTTTGCAGAAGGAATATAGCAAAATTTCCATTATCCAAAATTGGAAAAAATTTATATTTGCTTAAATATATTCCACTTCTATTTTAGTTGAAGCACCGTTTTCATTAAAACAGCAACTTTCAGACTCACCTGCCATAATTTCGCTCGAGAAGAACACCTAATGATATTAAGTTTAATTACTGATAAAAGCAAGAACTAAGTGCTTTTTTCAGCCTTTATCTGCCATTTTTTCCATGCCTTTGAAGCACGTTTTTTGCCGGTTAAGTTTTAAGTAGAGTCCGAACCTCGACCCGCCTTCAACTTTGACTGCACACGCATCGCCCCTCTGCGCCCCGCCCCCCTGAGCCTTCCACGGACACTCACCTGACGGAGCCGGCAAACTTTTGCATAATAAAGCAGGTGCTTTTCCTCCCCCAACGGGATCAGGGCAGACCTGTCTGACCTCGCCGCCTGAGTCACCATCAGCACGACCCGTTAATGTGCTGGCGATTTTAGTTATGGCCAGTGGCCACCGCCAGCTGGGAGTTGACCAGCTGGGAGGCGCCCAGGCAGTGTCCTTTGTCCCGTTGATAATGTAAAGCCAACGACCTGGCCAGGATTACGGCAACTGAATGGCAACTGTTTTCTGCTCAAATCACAGAGAAAATAAATTGAGGATTTGGTATTTACAATGTGCAAGCAGCTCAGGTTAAACACTTCAAACACACATTTCAAAAGCTTATTTTGTTTTAATATTGTGATTTGAAAAACAAGAAATGGGATTAGGGAATATTTTGATATATTTGTTTTTGTACTCTAACAATATTTAGGCATGAAATGTTGCTCTATTAAAAACGCATTATATGTTAAAGAAATCCCTAGATATATTTGTTATTTCGATTTTAATAACGCATTATACATTTCGTCTTGTAATTGTGTTGTACACAATTTCAAAAGAAAAATCACTAAAACAAAAATCCTTTTAAGGGATACATACGTTTTAAATACCAAACTATAAATAGCTATACCTGTTTTTTTATAAGGTTTAAATATTCTTGGACATTAATTTTATGTTTTCTAGTTAACAATAAAAATTATTATTGCAATCAATAATTTTTAGTTTTAGTTAATTAGACATGTTGATAAGGACTTATATCGAAAATTACTTCAAAATGTTGACCAGAAAAGATAAATGTTTAGTTATATGGATAATTAAATAAAACAATGCTAGAATACCTCAAGTTTTCGCTCCGTGTATTAGCACACTCCCAATTTCTTTCAATCCCACTCTCTTGGCCATCTGCATTTTCATTTCAATTGTGCGAATTGCATCGGCGGTAAAAGAAAAGCCTGCACCATTCCATCGGCATCGGCTTATGGCACTTTCTTTGGGCCGAAAGAGTGCTTTCTGCCGGTGGTGCAGTGGTGGTGGTGGTGCGGTGGTGCTCCTAGCTGCTGGTTGATGCCGCCCGGTGGGGGACGACGACCCACATAAATCATTCACAATTAGATGCGGACGCAACTGCGGCAGCGGCTTAAACACCTGACCGACTTGCTCCCGAAAAAACTCCGGCCGAGTGGGATTTCCACCGAGTTCCACTCAAGCGGCCCGAGTGGAATGGCGGGGCCATTGAGTGGACCGATTCCACGGCGTTCCACTGCCGTTTCTTGGGCCTCAACGGACCTGTTCCCAGTGCGTGCCGTTCAGTATGTACTTGAGACCGGTTCGATACGTTGCCAGCCGAAAAGTCAGCGGGCCGCGGACGACGATTTCCCCACAAAAACAACAACTCGAAAACCAGCAAACTCGCAACAACATTGGCAACACAGCAGAAACATAGGCAACGCAACTCTCCTTCAGCAACATCAGTTTCGGCACCAGTTCTAAACCAGGGTTCTATTATGATATGATATAACCAAGTCGTATAGTGATTTTGTGCGGTGATCAATGTGCGATCGGCAGTTCGAAAATCCCCAAGAATGCCGCGTTAATTGAGCTGTACGTACAGCTGTAGTACAAATTTGCATAACCAGTGAGGAGGCATAAACAAATCTGGCCGGAGTGGAGCTGGAGCGGAGCGTCTTGGTTCACTGATTTAATGCCACAAACAGATTGCAGATTGTAGCCGCAGCCGCGCCCCTGCAACTTCAGCTGCAACTTGTGCAGCAACCACCTTCACCTCCACCTCGAACTCCTGTTCTCCTGTCTTTCTGCATCTCTTGGTCTTGGTCTTGGTCTTGGTCAACCTGCTTGGAAGCTTGTTTCTGCGGAAGAGCCGCCGCCGGAGCGCCAGACCCGGCAAATAAAAAAAAAAGTTTAAAAAAAATCGAGAAGAAAAACACATACAGAACAACGCTGCTGGTGTTGTCGTCGTCTTTGGAATTTTCTTTAAAAACAACGCGCTAAGATTTACAACGCGGACCCAGGCAAAAAGTGTAAAAGGCAAGCAAATGCAGCCGCGGTAAAAAAAAAAAAATTAGCGCATAGCGAAGTGTGTCCCAGTGTATGTTGTTGTATGTGCCTGCCCGTGTGTGTGTTTTTTACCAAGTGTGCGAATAAAAAAGCTGCCCAACTAAGAGAAAAAGTTTGAAAAGTGTCAAGCGAGCGGCTCGGTGGCGGCCAATAACCCAACGACTGGCATGCAATTGCGGCCAGGCGACCCCGACGGGTTAATTACCGTTATCCTTGCAATACAACAACTAAAACAACAACAACATAAGCCACTAAACGGTACTCAAGTTGTGGATTACGTCTACGCCGCGTTGTCGCCGTGTGAAAGGACAACAGCAACATCTGCAACCTCTGCCGCATCTGCAACATCGGCCATAAAAACCGCATTGAACACAAGGCAAAGTCAAGTGAACATTCCAATTGGCAACGTAACGGGCTAATTGGCACACCGACAAATCAAAACGAGGTGAGTTTTAAGAGTTCTGCATCTCCCATGAAATCTCAAGTTAGTTGTGCTAGTTAGGCCTTAAGATTTCGCATTTATCAAATGTTTTACAAAACAAATAAAAACAAGCTGGGTTTTACAGGTTGCAAAATGCATATTCCCCATGGAATTCTTGATTAGTTAAGCTACTTAGTAACAGATTCGGTAATGGCTTTTGATGAAAATAAAATTCTGTGATCTACATCTAATGCACAAAAGAATTTGCCAATAGCACAAGTAATATAATTATTTAATTTTTTTAAATTTCGCATAACTTTGAGCCATTGGTTAAATAATTTCTCAATGATTGACTGCATTCGTATGGTATTTTTATACCCTTGCAGAGGGTATTATAATTTTGGTCAAAAGTGTGCAACGCAGTGAAGGAGACATCTCCGACCCTATAAAGTATATATATTCTTGATCAGGATCACCTCCTGAGTTGATATAGCCATGTCCGTCTGTCCGTCTGTCCGTCTGTCTGTCCGTCTGTCTGTCCGTCTGTCTGTCCGTCTGTCTGTTTCTACGCAAACTAGTCTCTCAGTTTTAAAGCTATCGAATTGAAACTTTGCACATACCCTTCTTTCTTTGCACGCAGTATATATGTCGGAACGGCCGGGATCGGCCGACTATATCCTATAGCTGCCATATAACTGATTGATCGGAAATGCCATATCTTTGGTGTTTGTAAAGTTAGAATGTTGGGATTTTCTATGGGTTTTATATTTGGCTAATCAATCCGACATGCCGAATTTCATAAGGATCGGCCGACTATATCCTATAGCTGCCATATAACTGAACGATTGGAAATGTCATTACTTTGGTGTTTTTAAAGTTAGGAAGTTAGGATTTTTTATGAGTATTAAGAATGCATCACATGAATAATTTTGGAGAATATAGTTTACAGAGTATTCTGCAAGGGTATATCAACTTCGGCTCCGCCCGAAGTTAGCTTTCCTTTCTTGTTAGACTTTAAGTGGCTTTATAAGATATTACAACTATTTCATTAAAATAAGCAGTCATTTTACAATCTTCGCTGAAAGTCCTATTGTTTAAGGTAAGCATTTATTGATTACTTAATAGGACTAGGACCTACAATTATCTTTAACTTATTAGGTCTGCAGGAAATATTAAATCGTGATGATGATCGCTCTTCGATTCGATTAAATCCTATTTCCAGTAGTTCGCATCGGATGTCAGATCGCTTTTTGGTTTAATAAAATCGAACTTAAGCCAAGGAAATGCTCTATATGCCCATTGCAGAAGCGGTTTTGACTGAACCAGAGGCTGTTGCCTTATCTGTTGCCCTACGGATGGAGGTTGTCCTAGGGATAGAGGTTGTCTTACGGATAGAGGTTGTCCTTGGGAAAACTGTTGTCCTAGGAGTGCAGGTTGTCCTAGGAGCGGAGGTTGTCTTACGAATGCAGGTTGTCTTTGGAAAAACTGTTGTCGTAGGGATGCAGGTTGTCTTAGGAATGCAGGTTTTCCTAGGAGTGCAGGTTTTCCTAGGAGTGGAGGTTGTCCTAGGAGTGGAGGTTGTCCTTGGGGTGAAGATTGTCCTAGAGATGGAGGTTGTCTTTGGAGTGGAGGTTGTCCTGGAAAAGAAGGTTGCCCTAAGGATTGAAGTTGTCCTAGTGCTGGAGGTTGTTCTACGGATTCAGGCTCTTCTCCACTTTCAGATGAAGATATAGTACTCCTGGGAGGCGAACCCTTTCGATTTGGCTTGGGCTTGGTTTTTATCTTGCGTTTGGATTTTCGCTTGGGTTTGGGCTTACTTGTAACAGTTTGGACTTTGGACTTAACAACGTTTGTCTCGCCATTTTTCGTATGCTTGCTCTCGCTGATGACAACAATGCCATTACCAGCATTTCGCAATGGCGTACCTTTACCAAGTGGTCTCTCGCCGATAATGGTTTCGTGATAATATCCCGGGCCTGGTACGACAACAGATCCCTTTGCATCCGTCAATCCGGATGTGGAGGTGTTAACTAATATAGCTCCGCCGTTAACCATTATTTTATTGACACTATCACTTTTCAACTTATCAGCAAAAACTCCTGCACAGAGGTAGAGCAACAGTCCCAGTATCCAACCCATAGTCCGTGGAGATTAGTTGAACATAACAGAGAATTCTTGATTTATCTTAACATTACGAGTGGAATTAACAAAAATGTAAGACTTTGACATTTTCACTATAAAATCGGTTAGTTTCGCATTTATTTTATAATAAGGCGGAGCCAGGTTTTTTATATAAACTATATAACTATACGTGAAAACATTTGCAAGATGCCAGTAATCAATAAATTTTTTTAGAATATTATTATTTAATTATTCGTAAAATACCATAGGAACACTCATTTTTTCACTGAATTATTGATGTACTAACTCTTTTACTTCAAGTGTGATTTTTAAGCTTTATCCCGACTTCTCTGAGGAGTAAGTCAACGATTTTCCCTTTGATCTCTTGTTCGGTTCGACTTGAAAGCGGGCCAAGCTGTAGGCCAATTCCAGGGAAGTCCACTCCATCAGGCCGAGACCCATTGAGTTTTCCAAACTGCAGATACATTTGTGACGGGGCACTCGGACCTTCCACTGACGCAGACTGCTCGTCTTCGATTCTTGTATCTCTCAATTTCCATTAGAGCCAGAGCGGGTTCTCTTTGGGTTCTGAAGTGAATTTATGTCGAGCCGCTAAACAATTGATGCTGAAAAATGATGACAAAGTGATTACTGCCAGCAATGGAAAGCGAGGAGAGATGCCAGCAATCGAAGTTCAAGTTGAAAAATAACATTTTCAATTTCCAATTGTGGGGCAGCAGCCTCTGAGGAAAAGTGAAAATGAAATGCTTTGCTGGCAGACAAAAGCGGTTCATCATTAATCATTTAGTTTGTTGTTTTTACAACGCAACCAAAAATATTCCTATTTATACGTACATAATCGTCTTGACTGGGGCACTTCTTCTTCGTTTGGGGCACGTTCTTGATTTGAATCTTTTCCCTCCATACGCCGTCCTTTTTTTCCCGTATTTGTTTCTTCTCTGAGTATTTGGCTTTGGTAAATTGCTCATCGTCATGCTTTTATGATTTGGTATATTATTTTTGAGAATTTGATGCGCTCAACTTGATAAGCCCAAAGCGCCCTGTGCTTTTCGTCCGCCCCCCAGCGCCCCTCGCCCACCTGCATTCCTGACTTATTGTTGTGCCTTTGGGTGTACGTGTGGCTGTGTGTAGGTGTGTCCACAGCACCCAGCCCGAAACTCCAGAATTTTTTTAACAGTATCCAGAGAGCAGCTTTTTCGATCCCTCCCTCAGTAACAAAATGTTTAAAGTTTTAAAAACCAGCCAGGAACGAAATATATGTAGGATGGTGATTGTACGAATACTCTGTGTTTGAGTAATATGTATTTCATACCTTTATTTCATTTATAAGATAATACATAATTTCTTAAACAGTTAGTACAAAATAAATAACCATAAAATAATAAAAATATTAAGAAATCTTATGTATTCAGAAAACTAAAATATATTTTCTATAAATTTCTTAAAATTGTTTCAATGACGTTATTATTAGCTTTTCCTGGAAAATCCCTTTACATTTGATTAGCGGAAACTGATGTTCCATTAAAACCAAAACACAAACAGCCCAACTCCATTAGAGTATCTTGAAAACCAACCTGCAAACAAACTTTTCGAACTCCGCGAAATGCTTGCACATCAAACTTTTATTTACCAGCTTCAAGAGCCACACAGTAAAGCCCCCCCCTCCCGATAACATCCCCTTTTGGCCACCCTAGCTTCAATAATTTCATTTCGTTGTACAGTTTATTATATAATTTTTGTCCCTCTTTGACTTTTATCTTACGTTTATTATGCCCCATGGAATTTGCCGATTTCCAGACGCTGTCCAACAACCCGCTGGAGGTCAATGTCTCCGCCCAACCACCCACCACTCGAGGACGAAGCAGCACATCCCCGAGATACATCCTGCCCCCGTGGCATCTTTAAGAGTTGTAATAACTTTGGCACAACTTTGGCTTGTACATTCGGATGGGCCCGTGTCTCTGGCTTTCAGCTGGGACTCCGTCCGGGGGCAAAGTGCTAAAATGCCTTGACGCATTCTTTTGCACTTGTTCGTTCTTGGGAAGCGTCCTATCCAGCAGCTGTCCAAATGTCAGACTCACACCCACCTTGGCTGCCCTTCGCCCACACGACTACACGAATCCTTGGCAGAAAACGTCGACTTGTAATAATCATAATCGTAAATTTGCAAAAAGCTGGCCGAGCCAAGCCGTGTGTCCTGCCTGCCGTTGGTCCTTGGGGCCCGTTTAGCATTTTGCGCGGATCCTAACAGGCCATTGCCAAAGCGGGGGGCGTGTTCGTGGGCGTTGTGTTGTAGGCGTCATCATCATTATTATGCCCTGTTTTATTTATTTTTTGCTCTCAGTGGGTGTGTGCCCTGTGCGTGGTTATGGGGGGCGGGAGTTGGCGGTGGAAGAGGAGGGGAACGCCCCTATTTCATCGCCTGTCCATCGCCTTGGCGAAGGCATTTAAAAAGTTTTCTAAACTTCATTTCGAAGTTTTATTACCAGCGCAGAATAAAATGCCGCGCAATTTCTACCCCCGCAATTCTATTCGCTCTCATTTTTCTGGCTTGTTGTTGAAATTTGCTCTATTAAAATTCCGAGGCGCAGTTATGCCGGCGCAACGAGGACCAGGACCTCGGTGCAGATGCCGCAGATGCCGCCGTTCCAGGATCCACGCCCAGATCCTGTGGGAGGCCTGCATCTGGTGAAGCCATCAGAAATGCAGGTTTCCCTCTATTCTCCACGAAGCCCCTTCCTTTGCTTCTTATGCCACTGCTTATCCTTGCTGGCGGCTTAGCAGCTTTGTTGGACTCATCCAAGCAGCCTGCCAGAGAACAGCCACCAGCTGGAGCAAGCTGCAGCAGAGCCAGGACTCCGGGTAAGTCTTAGTTATGTGGAACTGGCATTTATCTTGCGATAATAGCAAGTTGTGCGAAGCGAAGGCAGGGGCGCCACTTTCTAGGAGTTTGAAGCAGCCATCTCAAGGGGACTTATTAGGTTTCTTGTAATTGAGATTGAATTAAATACACACAGCTGTTGGCAAAACAATGGTTATGAAATATTTTATTTTGGATAAAGACAATGTCATTTCTATTATAAGAAACAAATAAACTTAATAAATGAAGTAAAAACTTTGGATATCAAAATTTTAAAACAATATACAAATGTAAAAAATAATATAATTTTGATAATGAATTTAAAAAATAAGTGGTTATTCTTAAAAAATAAAAGTATGCATACTTTAGGCATTATAAACAGTATTAACGTTCCCACATGTCAATCATATTAAAACAATTTATTATACCTTAAGTATTTTTCTGAGCATACCTAGACATTTTTCTAAGATGTTTAAAGCATAATCGTATTGGCACCTTTTCAAACCCCTTTTTCCACGCCCTTGACTAGCTTCTTCATCCACTGGAGCATATGCTGCTTGTGAATTTAACATTTTGCAAGCGCCAGACAAAGTATGCATTCAAACAAGTCACACACAAAATGTGGGAGGATGCAGGGCGGCCCAAGGATGTTCCTCGAGAATCCTTAACCCCAAACCCCCCTTCTTTTTTTCGTTCTCGTGCATTTTTGTCCCTAACGAAAATGTTTATCTGTGTAACTGTAAGCAGGATAAACGCACGCTTACACATGAAGACAGATACAGATACAGATGCTGGGGCAGAAACTTGAGCTACAACAAAAATAGATCAGTTTAAGTACAAATGGCCGCCAATGCCACGCCCCCTCCCTCCGCCAGCCTCCTTTTCTGCAGCTCCAATGTTCTATTCTTCCTTCGTGGAATACTTTTGCGGTTTCTTTTACTTCCGTTCGCTCTTTCGCTCCTTTCTTTCACACGCGCCAGGGTCCATTGTTAAACTTTAATGCCAAATGGCGGTGGTACGAACGTAGTGGTCCAAAGGGGGCGGTTGCCCGGTGGGCGTGGCTGTACAAATTTCACGAAAATTGTCCTCGCCACGGCGCACGGGGAAAACTTTATTTTAGTTTCGTCCTCTTAGTACTTTGCCCAGATGGAAAGCGTTATTTTATTGAATTCTCCTCGTTTTTTTTTGTGTGCAGCTTGCAAGAGCAGGAAAAAAAAACACGGCGAACAGAGAAAATTCTGTTGCCACAAAAGTTTTTCGTTTCATTTTCCATTTTTTGCACATTTGCCTGCTCGATTTTCATTCTCATCCCTTTGGCAGGCTGCTCATTTACTTTGTTGTCCTTGCTGGTCCTCGGGTTTCCATAGTTTTTTTTTTAAGTTTTAAAGGCTGGTTGTTGGTTTTACGTAGATTTGGTTTTGCAGTTTTTGTTGCATTAGCTGGTCGTTGAGGCGTAAAGTTCAATGGCGGGTTAAATGGACTTAATACCGGAACTTTTTAGAACTTTCCATCCCCCCTTTCCCCACTGGGAGGACCAAACTTCTGGCGTTGATCGTCCTGGGCAACAAAGTGAAAGTTTTTTTGTTGAACAGCTTAAAAAGAGATTGGCTTTCCTGCTCCCACTCCACTTCCTTGCTGGCCAAAGGATTTAGCAGTTTGTCTCAGTTTGTGTGTGTGGCCAAGTTCGATGGAAATGTGGAAAAGGAATTTTCGACAGTAACAATAAGTGATGGCCGAATGTGTTGGTTGAAGTTCTTCCCTTCAAGGATAAAGTTTTTAGGTGACAAAGGAAAAAGTTGGAAATTATTTGAAATGCTTTTCAAATGGCGAATGGCTGAAATTGAAATGGAATATGCATTTAAGTCGAAGTTATCTAAAATAGTTTCCCAAATGCAATTTAAGAATATGTGGCTTCGAATCTAAAAACTTTAGTTGGTAACTTTTTTTTTTCTTTTTTATCCCTAAACTTTGCACTAAAATCCCTGTGCCGGTTTACCACTCGAATTTCAGAGCGCGTGTCAAAAATTTCGGTTCCATCACTTGGAAAACCCTTCAGACGAAACTTGGCCAACTTTGGCGGCGCTGAGGGCACTAAGGAAAATTTGTAGCCAGTTATGCAAAGGAGGCCAACAAACAAAACCGTCAAAAAAAGGGAGCAAAAGAATAGGGGAAAAA